CCCCCCAGCCCCCACGGCAGGCCGACGCACAAAGCGCCGAGGCTGTGCCCACCCCAGCACCCTGGAGACCGCTCTACCTGGCACCGCCCAGGGCTGGCTCGTCTCCTGCTACCGCAGCACGCAGGGGGAGACGGGACTTACAAAGAGCTTGAGGAACTTGAGGATGCGTTTGTGGGTGAGAATGTAGAGCGTGTTGCCCGAGTCAGGGTCGATGACTGGCAAGCGGTGGATCTTATTCCGGATCAGGGATGAGACAGCGTCGAAGAGACTGTGGGACAAAAGGAGGGGATAGAGAGGAATCAGTGCTTGCCAGGGCCCCATCCTTGCACCACGGTGGTGCTGGACAGGTCTGTGCCAGGGAGGATGCAGGGAAGATAAGGGCAGGATGGGGAGACTGCTGCGCCCCGGTGCGAGAGGAGCCCAAGCTGGGCAGGGAGAGAGCAGGGGCCCAGGGGAAGCTCCTAGGCAGCAGCAGCCACAAAACTCTTTTTGCCAAGCAGCATGGGGGCACTGACGCTGCCAGTCATGCTCCCTCCCGCCCAGCAGGACTGCGGGTACCTGGCGTTGGGGGAAATGCAGACCAGCGGCTTGAAGGAGTCTTGTAAGTAGACCTCTGCAGGGAGAGGAGACACTGAGGATGCGAGCAGCACTGTGGGCATGCAGGGTGCGGAGCCGGGGGGCTCCGGGCCAGTCTCGGGGGGTGGGGGGCTGACGATGGTCCCTCTTACCTCTCCACGTCTCTATTTTATGCTCCTCCAGCTCGTAGATCTGCACCTAGGCACGTGTAGAAAAACAGGAGTTAATTATAGCCATCGCAGGCACGCACGAGGTGGACAGAGACCGGAGCAGAGCCGGGCAGCGAGCCCTATGGGACCCCCACCCCTGCCCCTCTCCTCACCATCGGGGACTTGTAGTAGCGGTGCAGGATGTTGATGAAGTCGGTGATGGTCAGCATCCCTGCGGGGGGGAGCGGGGTGAGCAGCATGGCCCTGCCCGCAGCCCACCTACCCCACGCTGCCCCGCTCGCTCACCCACAAAGCTTTGCTTCTTGCTGTCCCACAGCGGGGCAGCCCGCACGCCATTGGTGACCAGCGCGAAGAAAGCCTTCTTCACCTGCAGCCAGGGATGCAGAAGGACATCAGGAGAGGGACGAGGCGCCCGGCGGGGGAGTGGGGTCCTCGGGACCACCCAGGTCCCTCCACCTGGTGAAGGTGGCAAAGTCTTTGGGGCGGGAGGACGACAGCCCGAGGTCCACCCCGTGGCCCTGGCCCACCTGCAGGGAGGTGTCGAAGACGACCAGCTTGGAGCTGGTGGGGATCAGGTCATAGCAGCAGTGGGACTTCATGAAACAGCTGTAGACGCCGCTGTGGGACTCCTCTGGGGGACAGGTGGCATGAGGGGTCATAGTGTCCCCAATACATGTCATCGGAGAGGAGACGCCCCAAACCCTAAGAGCCCTCAACCTACGGGACACCCCCCAGTCCCTGGGACGCCCAGCCGAGGGCCCCAGGACACCCCAAACCTCTGGACAACCCCAACCATAGGACACCCCAAACCACAATCCTAGGACACCACAAACCCAGGACACCTCAAAGCCTGCTCCAAAGCCTAGACACATCCTGATCTAAGGGGCACCTCCCCAAGCCATTGGACACCCCAAGCCATTGGATATCCACCCTGGGTCCCTGGGACACCCCAAACTGTGGGATACCCCAAACCCCAGGACCTGGGACACCCCATGGACCTGGGACACTCCAAACCATGGGACATCTCCAACTAGGGTCCTAGGACATCCCAAACCCAGGGACGCCCCAACCCCCGGGACCTGGAATACCCCAAACCATGGGACATCTCCAACTTGGGTCCTAGGACATCCCAACCCCCAAGACACCCCAATCCAGGGCCCCAGGACCCTCCAGCCCCCCAGGACACCCCAACTCCCAGGACACCCCAACTCAGGACCTCAGGACACCCCAGCCCCCAGGACACCCCAACTCCCAGGACACCCCAACTCA